TGATGAGGGCAGCTCGGAGGTCTGTCAGCCCGCAGCTCTGACACCACCGCCAACTTCCTCTTCCCCAGATGGCGGATCCCAGCATGGTCGACCCTCTGTCCATCTCTCAACAGGCTGGCCCTTCAAGCCGGAAAAGTGTCACAGCTGCTCCTATACTGCCTCAAGAAAGTGTGGCCGCTCCGCCTGCGCCAGATGAGCTGACTACAGAAGCTTTGCATCAGGCATTCGTCTCTGGCATGCCTGCAAGCAAACGGAGAGCTGTGAGACCACCGATCCAAGCCCAGCTGCCGCCTTCCACCTCGGCCTTGGCAGATCACGCCACCATCGAATCCAACAAGCGCAAGGGCGCTGTGCTACATTTTGCTCCGGAGAATCGACGTATCAGGCGCTACGATTTACCAGAAGGGTACAATGATGAGGAGGTGTATCGGGGTCTTGATGATTATGTGAATGCTTCTCGCGCCCGAAGAAGAGCCGCACGACGCAGTGGAAGGCGCGTGGAGGGCCCCTCTCGGCGCAGAAGAAGTCGGAGTAGAAGTCGAGCTAGCAGTGCAGACTCCAATAGCGATAGAAGTAGCAACAGCAGCTCGTCCAGCTCAAGCAGTAGCAGTTCCAGCAGCGGAAGCAGCTCGAGCAGCTCGTCGAACAGCGAGAGAGATGGTCGACTCACCCTCGCTCGTCTGCGAGCATTCTTTGGTGATGACAGTAGTAGCAGTAGCAGCAGCAGTAGCAGCAGTAGCAGCAGCAGCAGCGATAGCAGTGATGGAAGCAGCACTTCTTCTTTCAGCAGCAACAGCTCAAATAGCTCATCAAACAGCGCTAGCTCACGGCGTTCCAGACATTCCACGCTTCATCGAGGCGAGTCCACTGGACGTGCAAGCCCATCTGCTCAGAGCGACTCCTCGAGCCGCAGCCGGTCGAGCAATCGATCGAGGCGAAGCGCAGCTAGCGCTTCCAGCGCTGCAAGCCGCCACACCAGTCGGTCCTTACACAGTCAGATTTCGGCGACGTCGGGACCACTGGCGCGGTTTCGAAGAAGGCAGCGGAAGCCAAGCATATCTGTATCTATAAGAGGTGGATCACCGCCGCCAGGCACCCCAAGAACCCCAGCCTTACGTCCGATAGCCGCCATGAGGGCGGTCAACACACGTAGAGCCGAGCGAGCCGCGAGACGCAGGCGGCGTCAGCTACGGAAAGAAAGGCAGAGGGACGCCAAGAAGCTCGGCGCCGCCTCTCGAGCAGCTCGGAGAAAAGCTAGGGCTGCAAAGGAGAAAGCTGGCGGCGTCACTCACTATTCGCTCTACACTCCAGTACCACTGACGGAGGGTGCTCTGGCAGATATGGAAGGCGAGGGGATTGCAGCGAGCAAGATATTCAACACTTTGAGACGGGATGGCATCACACAGCGACTGCATGCACTCAGGAGGTGGAGGCGTCAAGCAGATGGTCGTGAAGGCGATCTGGGCAGGCCCGAGTTGACACGACACCATCGTCATTCTCATCGCACTGATCAACGTAGCGCGATGAGGCCAGAAGGAGCATCGCGCCCACGCCATCGACGCCGCGCTGCATTTGCTCCAACAGAAACACAAGAAGAATCCGATGCGGCGCAGTATGTCGACACTGCCGAACATACTGAGGAAGGCGACTTGGCGCTGCAGTTGACACTTCCTGAACAAGGTGGCTCTAGTTCCAGTGCCCAGAGCGCAGCACAGCCAGCCGCCATGTCAGTGTCTCAGAGCGGCGACAACGCTCAGAAAAGTTCGTCGGGCAGCATGCACTCTGATCGAAGCCGCGGGCCAAAAAGTCCTCACGTCCGTCTGCAGTCGAACCAGTCCAACCCACATCGAGCTAGACGACGTCATGCTACCGACGAGAGACACACAGGTTGGCATATGAGTGACGTGCCGTTGACACCTCACACTGCTCTGACAAGCGAGTTTGCGAGAGGATTTGAGGCGGATGATCCAGGGGAATGGGAGCCGCTTCCCGAGGCCGCTCTACCTTTGCCAGAGTCTCCGCCTGCTGCCATCGATGTGCAGGAACGGGTTAGTGGGGAAGAAAGCAGTACTACGCAAATAGGAGAAGGGTCGGCTGGGAAGCAGCCAAGTCCCAAAGGGGCCAGCCCTTCCTCGCACACACTGAAGCGTCACGCCGCATGGTGGCTGGACATCGACTGTCCTACCTACCTTGATATGACAGAATTGAGCAAGGTGAGCGCATGATCGTTCACAATTGTGCGGCCGCGTGTATCACTGACCGTCTGGACGCTGCGTCTCTGTCAGATGTTCCCGCTTCACCCCCTTACTGTGGAGGACATACTGCAAGAAGAACAGCGAGAGAAGATCGAGACGTTCGAGACGTTAGGCTACTACTTTGTCGTCTTGCGCACCGTCGATGAGCGATACTTTCGCTACACAACCGGCAGCGAGGCTTCACTGAGCAATCGCACGCTTGACGGTGACAAAGCGCAGAGCAGCTCGAACGAGTCGACCCCACTCAATGCCTTCGCAACTAACGTGGTCAAAGGCGGAAAGCGAACCGACGCATCGCCCAGCGAATCCATCGAGATGCAGGAGCTCAAAGGTGACCCTGCAAAAGACGCGAGTCCAGCAGTCGATCAGGCGAATCAAGAAGAGCTGCCAGAGGGCTTGGTGGGCCAATCCTCGAGGCCACTGGACGAGTCAGCTGGCTGTTCGCCCGAGGCTTCGCGTCCTCGCGTTGACATCATTGAGGGTCTCGACGGCAGACAGGGCCTCGAAGGTGTGAGCGTCGGAGGCACTGCTCTATATCTGGTGGTCTTCACGCATGGAGTCATCTCGGTGAGTGTGCCGCAAGTCCTTCAGCGTTTTGCTGTTCGCTGCTCACCGCCGTCACACCGCACGCTATCAGTTTCATTTTGGTAACGTTCGCAAGCATGTGGGACGCGTGCAGCGACGACTTCTAGATGTGGATCAACCAGCAGAGCTCACCTCTGACTGGATAGCGCACGGGCTTTACGACTCATCTGTCGATACCTTTTTCCCCTTGCTTGCGTTTGTTGAGCAAGAGGTGGAGGAAGTAGAGATGGTGACGAGCGAGCCTTTCCCGATCAATCGTCGAGAGCGGAGGATAGCCCGTCGCATTGAGGCCAAACGTCGCGCCTCGCTAGTCGCACAAGGCGTTACAGATGTCGCGCCCCCTACTTCAAATCACACCCTCGACCAATTTGATTCTTCGGCGCTACCAAGAGCCTATGAATCGCATGTTCGTCGACAGCGATACGTCCTCCGTGCATTTCCCCGGCTCGTATTGCCGGACCGAGTGGCAAGGAATTTGCCAGCCGCCCTGACGGAAAAGAGAATGCGCGTATCTCGACTCCGCTCAGCAGCTTTGCCGTACGGCACTATCGATGAGAGCAACCTGGCATCGCGAGAGGAAGCAACGCCGCGCAGTGTCGTTCAACGAATCTTTCGCCTCAACAAACCCAAGGGCGACCGCATCACCAAGTTCTTATCAGAGACGGCGCAGCAGCAAAGCGAGATGCTGAGGCGCATAACCTTGGACCGAAAGATCGTGACTGGTCTGTCTCGCATTCTGACGCCCAAGAATGACGTGGTGCGCGGTCTACGCAAACGCCTCGTAGAACTGCGCGGCACCAGTACGACTGCGGCGGCGGAGATGTCGATCTACATGGGCGACGTGCACGACCATATCATCACTCAGCTGGCCCACCTCGCTTCGGCAGAAGCCAGGCTTGCAGAAATTCACACAGCCTATCTCAACGCCATCCGAATTAACAATACCCAAGTCAGCCACAGCACGGACGAGATCCTGGTCATCCTCGTCTCCATCACAGTCACGATCATCAGCATGCAAGTCATCCTAGCACTCTTTGGCACCAACGTTACAGTGCCGACGAACACACATCCAGACAAGCTACAGCCTGGAGAACAACTCAAGTACGAAGTCCTGGGCGGTGTTCTCGGTGGCATCCTGCTAGTACCGCCTACCATCATACTCTATGTGCGCTACCTGAAACGGACTGCCCGTCGACGCACTGCCGAGCGGCGCAAGATGCGATGATACACCGGACCGCCGTGGTCCCACACTTGCAGCGGAATCTCTTTT